ATCTAATCTCTTAAAAGACCTCATTTGTGATTTTTTTTCTCTCTGAAGACTACAAGCAGTGAGACTTTTAAATGATGTTGAATAGTTCTTTAATATTCCCTGCAACTTTTAGGGTTTAACAAATGATCATTTTTATGTTGTACAGTTCTACATTGACATAATAGGTTCTTCAGATCTGTGTTTTGGTTTCTGGGTTCTTTAAAGCCCCAAAACATAGACGTTTTCTACACAACACTCTTAAAAATTATGTTTCTCCTATGACATCAGACTGGAAAACCCTTTTTATTTCTAATTGTGGCTTTTATTTTGAACCGTGAATAACTATTTTATGCTCAAAAAAGGGCCACTGGCTTTCTTCCATAAACAGTAATTTGTAAGTTAATCAAAAGCAGCTGTATAAGTGAACTATGAGGTTCAGTACATGTATTAATGTGACTCATATTAGAGACGCAAAAGATTTACTGGCTGTTTATAACACGTTCACAGCAATTCATGCCCAGAACTCAAGGAAACACTTGACAGACTGTGTTTGTTATACGGTGCAATCTATTTTTCCATTATGGTGGATGGATACAAAGAATGTGAAAGATTTTGAAGTTAACCCGTCTGGTACAGAAAGATAACAGGAGGTTTTTACAAAAGAAACCCATCAAGTGGAAGTCCATAAACACTAGCACTACAAAAATACACTTTGTAACAGTACCTTAGAGGAAAGTTTATAGACTAACACTTGTTTCCTTACACAAAATGTCTCACATTTGACTTTATAAAAGTCATCTTCTGGTTTTGTTCCCATTTTTCTTCTTTATTACAGCCTGCTGTGATAAGAGAACCTTGCTAAGCTAAATTGTTCTTTAAAACATTCATGACTAGTGCTGCAAAGTATCTGGGAGGGGTTCGCTCTGTTAATGGATGAAACCTTGAACCAGTACTCTGATCTGATCTGAAGAACATGCAATATAACATAAAGGACATTTTTAATGTTCAAAGAACCATATAATAGCTCAGCCAAAAACGGTCTGGATCTTTGCTGAGCCTGATCTGCTCAGAATAACTTTGTCTATGGGTAATGTGTTTTTCAGTGTTAAAATACTTTCTCCTGTCTCAGATTAATATACAGATATAAATAGTAAGCCATTTGTAAAATCCTAGTGTCTCTGTTGTGGTATCAGAAAATTTATCTTTTTTTTTTTTTTATGGCTAGGCCAAACAAAGCAAAATTATCTTAAGACCTGTTTGTCTCACAAATATAGTTCTGTGTATTTTTGTAGGCCACCTGTAAGTTAGCATCACCCTGATCCCTTAACTAAAGTCTAATAGGAATTTCCCATAGTTTTTTGGATAATTGCAGAAAATAAGCTCTGTCACCAATAAAAGTTTATGACTGATTATACACATTTTGTTTATCAAAATAGCTTTCACAATGGAACACAACTTAATGAATTTTGAAGCCTAAATACAAATACACCACAGTCACTTGACTTCATACAGCAAAAATAAATGAATAAATAAATTAAATTAAATTAAAAAAAAATAGCAAAATTTGATTTAAAATAAAATTAATAATTTCTTTAAAGATTGTATTCTTTCACTGTAAAACAACCTCTTAAAGGGGTCATCGGATGCAAAATTCACTTTACAAGTTGTTTGAACATAAATGTGTGTTGGAAGTGTGTGTACACATCCACCCTATAATGATAAAAATCCACCCAGTGTTTTTTTTTTTTAACCCCTATTTGAAAATCCCCTTTCTCAAATCAGGCTGTTGAGATTCCTGTAAGAAGTGAGTATAAGGGCTTTTTTTATGAATCTTTGCAAATCGCCTTTCCTAATATGTGCTAGTAAGCCAGTTTTGTGGCTGAAGTTTACAGTCTGCTCCTCACCCCACGGAAGAGAGGAGTGGAGTCAGCAGAGCTCATTAGCATTTAAAGCGACATGGACTAAAACAGCGTGCTGAAAACAGAGCTTATTTTGACAAGGTAAAAAAGGGTGTTTTTTACATTGAGAAATTTTAACCAAAATGTTGTTATAGACTTTTCATTAAGACCCTAAAGAATCATATCAACTTGTGGAAAATGGGCATCCGATGACCCCTTTAAAGGGTCATTAACCCCCCCCACCATTTCAGCACTGGTTAGTTCTCACCACAGTTTTAAAAAATGCTAAAAAAGTGGGCGTGGTGCGCAGCGGAGCGGATGAGGGGGAAGAGGGGAGACAGACAACAGACACACACAGCTTAGCGTTCTGACAGTTTCATTTATATAAGCCTTTTGAGGGATTGTGTCACAAAACGGTTATGCTCACCAAGTGAATGAATCGCGTTTGTGCCGAACTCTTATTACAAAGCAAAAACAAACACTCTTCTTCGATCCATGAACGTTTCTCTCAGTTATTGTGCGCGATGTCATCTCACAGTCTGAAACGTCTGTCACAGCAAATCAACACATGCTGTTGTGAATAATTAAGCGAAGTCTTCTCATAGAAATGAAGTCTTTTCATAGGATAAGAACACGCAGTCTCATGAATAATTTAATAGACACCGACGCGTCATCGATGTACTATTAGTCCATTTAAGTCTTTAAATCAAAATGTTTTTACAACTATGGAAAGCATATTTGATCGGACTTTTTATTGGTTGAAAGAAACCATATCTGTTACTGTTAAGCCCAAACTTAACCCTCAACCACACCTAAAAATATGACAATAGGTTAATATTTTATATATAATTATTTTATATTTTACTTTTGAAATTGTATTTTAACTGGGAATCACTTTGTCCAACTCTTTATTTAAATGTCCTATAGAAATACAATTGTATTGTATTAGGACCAAGAAAATGTCTATCCAAGAAAAGTCTACTTATAAAATCAGAGTCAGCCTTTTTTCAAATTCGCCATGCATTGCTGCCATTTTATAGCAATGCATCACTGAAGGCTTGCATTACAGTGATTTCACCATGATTAAGCCTCGCAAGTGCCTATGAACACCCTCTGAACCGCTGTAAATTCACAGCTTCGCGTTGCATGTTGGGAACAAGTACGATTTACAATCTCAGATTCCCAGACTGTCCCAGGAGGGACAGTAACAGCATGCATAAAGAATGCGCCGGCCAAACACCTTGAGCTGCAGTGCTCTAATGACCCGCTGATGAAAGCGCCTGCAAGATGATTCTCTTTGCTTTTTTTGTCTCCAGATGCAGAAACGTCGCCTTGCGTTTGCTGACTCATCAGTCTGATTTCATGGGCAGCTGGACTCTGATCCCCCCAACCGGCCCATCTGCTGGAGAAGAGTGTGTATGTGTGTGTATGTCTGTCTGTCTAGTCTGCTGGGAAAAAATGAGGAATGCTGCTCTGGGACTGAGAGCTCTCTCTGTGTGTGTTTGGCTCTGATGTTCTCAATGGACAGTACGGCTCGGCCAACTCACTCAACAGCTGCTGCCCTCAAAACCACCAACACAATTACAGCTCACACATACACAAGCTCTTTTATAACCCACTACACTGCCATCTACATATTCCACCATCATTTCTCATCTCTTTCTGTTTGTAGAGAAATTCTTAAATGTCTAATACATCTGGAGCACTAATTCATATTTGTTTTATTTTTAGTAATATTAGTCCTTTCATTTCATTTCAGTTTGTTGCTAAAACATTTTTTTATATCTTTATTTTTACATTGCTTTTACACTGTTAAAGAGTTGGATTCTCATGCTGAACATGGCCAAAGTTTCAAAAAACGATTTGGACATATGACAAGTTTGTAAAACTTCCAAGTTGGTAAAAGTTTTTTTATTTATTTTAATTTTTTTTAATTGAACAGAATGTCAACACATTCAATAAAATAAGGAATACACTAAAGAGTGTAAAACTCGAATAGCTTTTGGTTTCTTTGAGGGCAATATGGACTCAATATAATGCTTCACTTCATTTTTAAATGCTAAAAAACTTTTTTCCGGAAAATGTACATTTATGAATAAGAAATTTAGCCTTAAAGGGGTCATATGATGCGATTTAAATTTTTCCTTTCTCTTTGGAGTGTTACAAGCTCTTGGTGCATAAAGAAGATCTGTAAAGTTGCAAAGACTAAAGTCTCAAATCCAAAGAGATATTCTTTATAAAAGTTAAGAGTCAGCCACGCCTACCTAAAACGGCTCGTTCTAACACGCCCCCACATACCTACATCACGATGTGGGAAGATTTGCATAAAGCCGCCCAAATGTCCACCCAAAGAAAGAAGGCGTAACTTTTATCCTCGCTGTAGTATTGTTGTTGCCGCCGCCATGTCATGGAGACGCTGTGTGTTTCGTTGTGAAAGCGAAACTACTTAGCTTTGCCAAATAAAAAGATACATAAGGGCAGTGCCAAAATAAATGAACAGCTGTCTCTGGCTTCTGCTTGCAAAAGCTACAACTTACATATTATATTTTTTTGTTATTTATTATTAAGCTAAATAAAGTTTAGTAGGGTATATTCTGTGAAAAGATATCTCTTTGTTTGTTAGGAGATTGGGCAGAAGCCAGACTTTTTTCCTAACATCACTCACAAATCAATTCTAATATGCAATTGCATTTGGTTTTGAATCTTTCTGGAAAAGGGATCTTATTTATCTGTTATAATTATTACAATGATAGAAAAACATATTTTACCTAGGGAATCTAATTGGTCTACCAAAATAATATTTTTTCGAAACCAGTTTTTTTTTTTTTTATAGACTTTTGTTTATATAAAATGTCCTTATTATTCCAAATAAAGTAATGGTGTGGTGAAAAATTGTGTTTGTAAATCAAATTCCATGCTAGAAAAGCTTGATACCCTTCGAAAAGATTTTATTTATTTATTTATTGTATTTGTTTTTTTTTCTCAAGCATGGCACTTCATGACGCCATGAAGGGGGTAATTCCTTATATGGGCACTTCTCCCAGAAGAGCGAGCACGCGCACGTGTCAACCAGAGAGCGCTCCCATCAACGTCGTCGGCAGTGCTGCTCAGGACTTGCTCAAGAAGAATGTCTCCAAAGAAGTATGTTTTTGGTTGTGAGAAAAAGATAACATTGTTCAGCTTCCCAAAGAACCCATTGCTACGTAAACAGTGGATGCAGTTTGTTTTTCCGGGGCAGCAACGAAGTTTTGCAAGTGTGTTTGTTTGTTCCCGTAATTTTGGTGATGAACATTTTATAAACAAGGCCCAGTTCGGCGGTAAATAAAACTGCATCACATTTCTGTGTTGTTTTGCCAATCTGTGCGAAATCTTGCAACTCTTTAGCTCCGCCCACAATACACCTGCGGGAGCTCGGATGTTTTCAGAAAGAATCCTAAGATGCATTTCTTTTATAAATATTATAAAACTAAAGACTCTTTGGAGATATGTAGGATGCAATACTACTCTATAGGTTTGCAAGAGTAACATGAGATTGAGTGAAACTGTGTGTATGTCCCTTTTAAGTTAATTTTTTAAATATCTATATTTAATTTCAGCTTAAATTTCAGTTAGCTCAAATTAGGTGAATTTTAATTCAAAATTTAAAAATATTTAAAATTATTAAACATTTATTTATGCATTCATGTGTGTACCATTCCGCTATGTACGTTATTTCATCTTATGAGTCTGCTGTAATCCAAAAAAATGGTTTAACTAGCAGTATAGTCCATTGGCTGCTGGCTAATGTGTTTCATGGTTTGTAGAAACTTGGCACATTTTTACAGAATTCACCTGCATGCATGTCATTTTTACAAGTTATTTTGCAAGAGCTTAAACTGTGGTTCATCCAAACAGATTCCAGAGCTGTCTGTATTAAAAAGAAAGTTTGAAACATCTTTTTTACATCAACACATACATTTTGCTACAGCTGTAAATATCACTAATTATCTTACTGCAAGGCCTTTACTAACGCCAAAAAAGCTCTTTAGCTCCGTAAAGCGACACCTGCGGAGAACCCGCTGAACTCGGCTCGCTGATGTCATGTACTATTGCATCAAGCGGAATCTGACTCAAAACAAGAGCGGAGGTGTACAGGGGAGTCGTGAGGCGATCAGTCACCTGAGAGAAAACGCTTGATTGCTTTGACGTCTGAACTGGATGACTTCAGTGGCTGGGAAGTCCCTACAAAACTACCCATTACCTCCCCGGCTCGAGCAGTGCATCCTGGGAAAGAGCGCTCGCATTCACACACGCAGTGAGTTTTAGGAAGATCAAAGGTGCCAGTGGACACTGATGCAGATCTGTGGGGATTATCGCCAGATGAAACCACACTGGAATTTCAGCACTCAAATCAAATCCCACATCACACTGAGTGACAGACGGAAGGAGGGGGACTTAAACACTCATTATGAGTCTAAACACCTTCAGTTTAATTAAATCATCATGTTACATACATCAAATATTTTATTTACACATACAGAGAATATACATACATTTTACACATAGACAAAACATCAAACATACGCTACGCTACCATTCAGAAGTTTGGGGTTGGTGAGTTTTTTGAGATAAGAGATCTCTTATGCTCGCCAAGTTGCATTTGTTTGAACAAGAATACAGTAATGTTGTAAAATAAATAAAATAACTGTTTTCGATTTGAATATTTATTTTAAAATGTAATCTATTCCCGTGAAGCAAAGCTGAATTTTCAGCATTATTACTCCAGTCTTCAGTGTCACACGATCCTTTAGAAATTATTCCATTATGCTGATTCTAATTGGTGCTCAATAAACATTTATTATTGCTATTATTATTATCAATGTTCAAAACAGTTGTGCTGCTTAATATTTTTGTGGAAACTGTGATACTTTTTTCATGATTCTTTGAAATGTTCAAAAGAACAGCATTTATTTGAAATGGAAATAATTTATAGCATTATAAATGTCTTTGCTGTCACTTTTTATTAATTTAATGCATCCTTTCCAATTAAAAATATTAATCTCTTTAAATACATAAATAAATAACTAAATAAAATATCTGACCCCAAACATTTTGAACAGTAGTAAACATTATATGACCTGTTAAAGCAATTTCATTGGTTATTTTCAACTTAATGTCCATGTATTGCATCTTTCTCATGTTGTCAATCACAAAACTTATGATTTGTTTGTCTAGTTTGCTTTTAGCTGTTTACATTGATCTAAAGTCTAGTGCACACTATAAAACAGCAGCTCATCGCTCGTTTAAATTTTGTGAATAATCTGAGATAAGAAGCCCTAAATCATACCTGTTTTCTTATTTATAACACATTTTAAAAGATAACTATTTGCAATAAATCCCAAGCTCCACTCAGACTCTGAGATTTAAAAGAGAGAGAGAGAGAGAAAGTACATAAATTATGTGACAGAAAAAATAAAACTCATGGCCAAAATAAAATACAGATGAGTACATGTATAACTTAAGATCTTAAAAGATCAAATAAAGTCAACAAGTACAAAGTACAACAAGGTCCAACCAAAATTGTATTGTCCTTCCGGTAGCGCTGGAAATATTAGTTGTGTAGTATAAGAAAATAAGTTCTACTGTAGTAGCACGTGCTAAATTATTATTTTGAGGAGGGACTATTTTTTAAAGGTGGAGGAACTTGTTTATTGACATCTGCAGTGTTTCACTGACTGAATTTCTTGAAGGACACCATCTTTACAGGGACACCACAGACAAAAATAACTATTTTATGCCACTTGTGAAAAAAATAAAATAAAATAAAAAACACTTCTGTGTCCTTCACTGTAAACACGACTGGATGTGTGTGTTTGAGGAATTTAATTTGGGAACTTTTAAGTCTGGTACATAGAATCCAAAGCAGATGGATCTCGTTTCAGCTGCTTGTTTAAGAAGTGATTGAGCTCTATCAGATTACATGAATTTGAAAAACAAAGCTTGCTATACGAGGTGAAACATGGCAAGAACATAATGAAGATATGACAGCTGGGGATTGCACTGTTGTTGTCTCTTTTATTTGTATTGCTTTAGTTGCAACAATGACTCAACTTTTCAAGGACCTTTAGTTCGGAAATGCATTTTCCATTCATTTTCTACATAGACATTTAAAAATGTTAAACCTTGAACCAAACCAACAGACTCTGAAGCAGGCTGAATCCAGGTAACTTGGAATACATTTTAAGCTTTGCTCAGTTGCTGTGGACCAGTTAAAAATGTTGCTTGTTTGCTATCTCGACAGCAATGTCTGTTAATGTTATTGCTTATAGATTTTGGAGTATGCTCTTAAAAATCAATGTTCTTTATTGGCACTGAAGAACCATTAAGTACCTTTAAAGGAATAGTTCACCCAAAAATGAAACTTCTGTCATTAATTACTCTACCTCATGTTGTTCCAAACCTGCAAGACCTTCGTTCATCTTCAAAACACAAATTAAGATATTTTTTGATGAAATCCGAGAGCTTTCTAACCCTGCTTAGACAGCAATGCAAATACCACGTTCAAGTCCCAGAAAGGTAGTAAGGACATCGTTAAAATAGTCCATGTGACATCGGTGGTTCAAACTTAATTTTATGAAGCTACAAGAATAGTTTTTGTGCACAAAGAAAACTAAAATAATGACTTTATTCAACAATTTCTTCTCTTCCGTGTCAGACTTCGACGCACGTTCACGACAGTACCACGAGCATATTTTCAACATGCATCAAACAGAGTCTTTTTAGCATGACTGCAAAATCCTGTGCACATTTTTGAGGAACCTCTACTTAGTGTAAATATAATCTTATACAAAACGATACTCAACAGCAGGTCTTGTAATGCAGTCAACTGTCTGAGTCTTGACCCCGAGCAGATGTCATGGCTTTGTGTGATTATGCTCAGCGCTCACACCAGCAGGACCTCAAAAACCGGCCATGAACCCATTCGGAGCCTGCTGATCCGTGAGCTGAGAGGACTCTGGGGCAAGCGGGACGAGGGCCCAGTGCTCCGCTGGATCTTTTACACGTTGTGACAGGCCCTGATGGTTGGAGCCTCCGGGGGTCTGTGGATATTTATCTGAGCCTTTCAGCCCGTTGTCCGGCCTAGACAAACATCATGCCAGGAACTCGGAGAAGTGCTGACTGAGTGAATATTTTTCTAGGTTGGATTAAAAGCTGAAGCACACACACTGGCCTGAGGATATGGTGCCTGAG